TGTTGGCTCAGGAAAGGCTATTCCCCTTTACAGGACCAGTGTGACAGATCTTACCAGCGCTGAGAGTTAAGTCTAGACATACGGGGTGGAAAAAGTCTACCTGCTGATGGCAACCGAGAAGGCTTCTTTTTTTATGGAGCACCTTCCAGTGCAAACACAAAGCGAGCCCAGTCAGGCGGCAGGCTGGGCCGCTGCCTCGCTGGCCGTGATGCAGGAACCGCACGAATCTGCAAACAGGAGCTTTGCTTTAACAGCCCCAAACGCCCTATTAAACTTTCCTGACTTGAGAGCAGCAAAGAGTGTCAACTTTATTTTCAAGCCCAGACTTTCCTGTGCTGGAGTATGGGAGGGTTGGTGAGCTGCAGGGCAGCCCAGGTACATGCAAAGGCTGCAGGCAGATTCAGCCTTTACTGCCTGAGACAGGCAGAGGGTGTTACAGACACGGGCATGGTAGATGGAGAGCAAATCTAGCGATCCAATGCCGTTACCACAACTCAGCAGAGCTGCTCTGTTGGGAATTAATGTCCCTTGTCCCCCTGGGGGGTTTGGGCAGCTGGAGACCAAGTCAGAGCCAAGCAAAGGCAAGCCTCGGAGCACATGGGAAGCAGCAAAAAAAAGGCAAACGCTGCAGCAAACACACACAGCTGAGCCCAGGGCAAATATTAAAAAGCTCCTGAGGGGCTCAGCCGCAGAGAGCTGCGGGTGGATGCAAGCGGAAAAGGGAATAGCCCATGCCCGGCGGGAGCCTCCATGTGCGCGCCCAGCACCTTAGCGGATTTTTGGGCTGTGAAATCCCAGTCCCAGCTGTATGACACTAACTCATGTTGTACCTCAGCCTTGCAATGAAACCACTCTAAATAGCTTCAACTTTCAACAAAACCCTGTGTGCTTCTTACTTTGCAGGATTATTAATACTTATTAAGTCTTTGGGGAAGGGACTATTTTTGGGCAACACCTTATACTACAGAGCCCTAACATCCAGCAACCCTGGACATTATTTTCACAAAAAGAATAAACATTCAGACGTTACTGCACAACCTATGCATGCATCTCTCTTCAACGGGGCATCTCCATGAGGCCAGTGGACTGAGGAGCGGAAGGATGGCTCCATGCAGGGATCCACAGAATGAGCATCCCACAACAACCGCCCATTTCCTGCACAGCCTGCTTTGGCCAAGAATGACCCACCAGGAACCTCCATGCTCCCATGGACCATGATGTTGGTTTGGACCAATAAATCCTCTTCGAGGGGCTGGCCAGCATGGAAACCGCACCGTGATGGGGAAGGTGATGGGGGCTGGGCAAGCAGCAGTGCCCATGCAACGGGGACCTTCACACAGCCCTCGGGAGAAGGAAACTAGTAGTAATCAATGTGGTGGAAGGGCAGAGATTAATTGGGGGGAATTAAGAGTGTTTGGGAACTTTACAGGCTTTTAAAAAGAGTGAGTTAGCAAAAGGATCAAACAACTGACACAGATGAAGAAGTGTCTATTAGTGCTGCTTTGCAAAGGCTCATGCAAGCATCCTTCAGCCCCCAAAGCACTTCACAAGCACCAGGTAAACCTGATGGGCCCATGAGAGATCACGGTTTTGGCCAACATGTCAGGATATCACCGACTGGGGGTTACACAGCACCATAGCCCTGTGCCAGGAGCAAAATCCCATCCAGAGCCCCCCTCTTGTCACCACATCCCACGAGGAAGGGCTGGGGAGGGGGGGATACCACCTCTTCTCTTGATTATTTCAAAGACATTGGAAACAAAGTAGAAATAAGCACCGACCTGCAGAAGTACAGTCTACCTTTCTCCTGCTTTCCCCCCAGTCTGGTTAACTGGAACATCTTTCCCTCTCTCACCCCCTCCCCTTCTCAGCAGCTTCTACCCAGAGTGCCAGAGCACAGGCTGCCCTTACGGCAGCACCCTGCAGCACAGCAAGTCTAGCAGGGAAGGGAAAAAAAAGTGAAGATATCTTTAAATATAACACCACGTATGCAAGCTGTCACAGCGCATCACGCACTCTTCGGCACAGCTCAGGTTGGAAAATTAGGTCACACACGGATGTGTAACACGGGGTGAAGAAGGAGCGAACGCTTGACCTGTGAAGCTCAAAGTGTTTCCTGGG